CATTGGACGAAGGGATCTCACAGAAACTGCTACTTGTCTACTGCTGGGAAGTTCTAAAAATGATTGGGGACACAAGCGGACCATTTTATCAGATTGATGTGCCCCCTCATCTCAAGGCATATGCCGTCTTCCACGCGTCCAAGTTGTTACCCGTTGTTGAAGGTCAGACTTTCCTAATAGACCGTCAATGTTTCCACCTTCAGTGGATGGAGGGTATCAAGTTGAAAAGACTCAGGAACATGGGCTCTTCTCTCCCGGTGGAAGGGGAAGACCATAGAGCAGTACAAGATAAAGTTCAGCAATCAACCTCATTCAGAAGCAAGATGGTTCAGTAAGAAAGAACTCTTACCTACTGCACCTAATATAATTGCGGCATATGAACGTGGGTTAAAAGAAGACTGTGCCTGAAAGATTAATTTCTGCGATGGAACTCGTAATTGGGCCGGAAGGAGTGCAAAACTCAGTTCAAAATCCGCATGAGTCAAGGGCAGGGTCGTAACTTTTGCTCAAAGGCCAGGAAGACAATCTACTACGAACGCGCCACGACGTGGGCGGGAGGGGAGGCGCTGGTGGCGAGTCGGAAGCATGGTGGTGGCTGCTTGCACGAGGCGAGGTATTGGCAGCTCGATGGTCGAGAGGCGCTGGCTGCTTGAAGGACGTGAGGTGCATGTCGCCTGTGAATGGTGAGGCGCTGACAGCTGTCGGGTGGTGAGGCGCTGGAGACTAATGAGTAGCGAGCGCTGGCTGCTGGTGAGTGGCGAGGCGCTGGTTTCTGACATGTGGCGAGGCGCTGTTTTTTTTGCAAACGTCATGGTGCTGGACGTGTTACGGTGTTGTGCTGGTGTGAGCTAATCCTACAGGGATGATGAATCAGATTTTGGATGGCGACAAAGGGCTTCATCCTTATCACTTACTGTCTCCTGACTTTTGAAAGCATTTTCAGTGCCATCTCTTTGCTTCGCGTTTCACGTGAGTGATGCTGCAGGCTAGTATGTCGTGTGATAGGGAGCTTCGCTTTCAGGAGTGATCACTCTTGCTCTTCATCTTGCGAGTTTGGTGGAGGAAGGTCGGCTCGTCGCGAGAAGGAGAAGAGCAGAGTGTGTCCCGTGGGGTGGGAGGAGGATTGCCGGGAGATAGTGAGTGGGAGGTCTTCGAGGAATGAGTCCAAGAGCCATCAAGCGGTCATTACAAGAGAGGAGGCTTCAACTCGGAGTTTAGTTGCTGGTTGTTCATCGTCCTTTCTGTGTCATCCAAACTACGCTTACAGGGGAGCGTCATCAACATTCTAATCAGCAGGTTTCGACATTATCATCATTATTATTGTCTTCATCAGAATCATCATCTTCAGCTTCATTATGAGGGGAGTGTCATCAACATTTCAATCAGCAGGGTTCGACATTTTCATCATCGTTATCGTCTTCATCATAATCATCATCTTCTTGGAATAGGAGGGGGGGACAGGGAGATGAGGGGGAGGAGGGGGGAATCGTACGAATACCGTCTTTACTCATCTCAGATTGTCTTTTCATCTCTGTCTGGTCTCTAGTTACCCGAAACCTTTTTAATTTTCCTCATTTTATTCTCAATTAATCAATTATTATCGATCTTCTAATCATTATTCCAGTAAATATCTCAACTATCAACCAGTATAATCATCTTTAATTAATATATCTGCCTCTCCTCAAACTATGGAAATCGAGTACTAAAATCGGAAAGGTATTTTGTAATACCTAGAAATTCATATATAATTTACTAATCAATTTACGTTCTTTGTTCCCCAATCTGTTTCAGGTGTATCACGTCTGAATTTTTCCATTATTTACCATTTGAATTTTAATATCAATTACTACTATTAATACGGTTAATTTTCTGTCCTGTAGTTCCTAATTTATTCCATATCTATGATAATATTCCATTTCATATTTATTCTTGCTCTCCCGTGGGTATGTAATTTCTTGCTGATTTTTTATTGGATGATTATGGATGGGGGAGCTCTGCTCTGTAGGGGTGTTGCATACGCCCTGAAGGGAGTGTGAGCAGAGTTGTGAGGGATACTCTTTTCTGGGGCTGGAGATAAATTCCAGTGGAGGCAGATTAGGGTAAGGGAGAGACAGAGGCATACTTTGGGTGGGAATTCGTTGCCTCAGGGGTGTTGCAAGGTGGGTAGTGTACGCCCTGAAGGGAGTGTAAGCAGAGTTGTGAGGGATACTCTTTTCTGGGGCTGGAGATAAATTCCAGCGGAGGCAGATTAGGGTAAGGGAGAGACAGAGGCATACTTTGGGTGGGAATTCGTTGCCTCTGGGGCTGGTGGGTAGGAGAGTGGAGACTGTTCCCAGTTGGGGCCGATAGGGTTGTTTACATTACGAACAGCTTATCGGTGGAGGCAACGACGGAACAGGAAGGGAAGGAGGAGCGAGGGGGGGAATTTGCTGTATAGAAATCAATTAATCATGTTATATCAAGCTTTCTGGTGTTTTATAATTCTGGGCGGTCTTTGGCTTTCTTCCTCATTCGAGATATAGGATTTCAGAGATGGTCGAATCTGGGCCGATATCTGCATTCTTGCTTTGCTCTGTGCCCCTGGTATGCCGATTCCAGAACGACGCTGGCTGGAGCTGGGGTGTTGCCCTGTAACCTGCAAATGGCAGGAGTATGAGGCCTTGTAGAGAGATCTGGGGATTAGTCGAGGGAGGAAGACAATCCAGTGGCGATCTGGGGGGTGCTGCCATGACAACCTTTGGGTCCAGGTTTAGTCTAGGTGGCGAGAACAGGATGGCTGTGGTTGATGTTGGCTAGGATGGCATTGTCTCTGAGATGTAATGTCTTGGTACAGGGAGGGCGAGGAGTTGTTTGAGGATTAGAAGGCCATATTTCCTGATATAGCATAGTCTTCTAGAATTCTTTTCATACTAATCACCATCATCGTTAGCATCATCAAAAAAAAAAAAAAAAAAAATCATCATCATCATTAGTATCATTATCTCATCAATGTTATATTAAGCTTTCTGGTGTTCTGGAATTTTTGGGCAGCATCGAGTTTTCTTCCACATCCGGGATATAGGATTTCAGGGATGGTCGAACCCGGGCCGATTTCTGCAGAGTTGTTCTTTTCTGTGCCCCTGTTTTGCCGACGCCAGAACGACGCTGGCCGGAGCTGGGGCGTTGCCCTGTAACCTGCAAAGGCAGGAGCGTGAGGCCTTGTAGAGAGATCTGGGGGTTGCCGAGGGAGGAAGGCAATCCACTGGCAAACCGGGGGAGGCTGCTCGGTGGCGAGGAGAGATCAGCTATGGGTGACATTGGTTAGGTTGGTATTGTCTCTGTTTTATAGTGTTCTGGTACAGGGAGGGCTAGAAGTTGCTCTAGGAGTAGGAGACCAGAATTGTTGATATAGCATAACTTACTACAATTAATACAATTTTTTATCACCATCAGCATCAGCATCATCAGTAGTATCATCATCAGTAGTATCATCATCATCATCAGGATCATCACCATCATAGTCACAACATGAGGGACGCTGAGCCTGGTTCTCAGCAAGTTCGGTTCGGTTTCTCCGGGCAGACTGTGAGGACCCCGGCCTCATTCCTCTTATTGGTAATATCAGCCTTGGGCACTGGGCCCTCTTTTATAATAATAATAATAATAATAAATAAATAAAAAAAGATGGATCAAAAATTGTGACCTGAGTCCCTTAGAGGTCTAAGGAAGTCCCTGGGGTCAAAGGGTACTAGGCCCTGAGTCAAAAGCTGCGTCCAGTACCCCCACGAGGTACAGTTGACTCTTGGAAAATCAAGAGTCAGACCCTGGAAGGGAAATACACGCCCAAAGTCTAAGTTTTCCAGTAACTCAACCACGGCCATAGATCGGATGCACATGAAAGGTTGTGTGCAGGTTTCCAGAAGATTCCAGTTCCATCAGGGACATGACACATCTGCGACATCATTGCATCCAGGCCGTCGACAAGGTCGAAGAGGAGGCTGGTCAATGCCAGTCGACACTATAAGAAGAAGGTCTGGCTGAGGCGAGGCTCATTCTGCCTTGCGCTGGACTGTGGCCAAGTTGCTGGATGCAAGGCTCATGTTGGGGGATGCTGGTGCCAGATGCTGCTGGAGGTGCGAGCCTAGTTGAGGACATGCTGAGTGGCCATAGCCGCCATAACCGTAGCTGTAGGTGATGGGGTTGGGCGAGGAGGAGGAGGATTCGGGCTGTGAGACTGATGAGAGGTTTGAGGGGTGGCTCACCTGGACTTACCTGGCGCCAATGGGACTGATCTGCTGCTGGTCTCCACGAAGGTGAGGAAGGACAGCGCCATCCGCCATAGCTCGATGTTGACTGTGGAAGGAGGATGGGCGCTCTGCTGAGAGCTGCATAGTGACATTGGAGGAGAGTATGGATTGATGAGGTGGCGATAGGGGAGAAGCCCGGAGAGGAAGTGGGATCAGGAGAGCGACATACATGTATTATTGGTTTTTGAATGTAACCCTTCTCCTCCTCCTGCATGTCTCTTCTCTCCTCCATCTATTCTTCAATGCTCTTCTATGATGGTTCGCTGCTGATGAGATGTGCAATCAATGATGACATGGGTTTGCAATTATTTGGAGACTTCATGTCGACCGCTGGGTTCAGAATCCTCAGATGTATGTGAAAATGCTGATTGGCTTCTCAACAAGACTGGGTTCATTGCATGAGTCTGTATCTCTGTCTTTGTCTGTCTGTCTGTCTGTCTGTCTGTGTGCCTGCCCACCAACCCACCCCCTCCGTTTACACCCCTATACTGGAGGTAGGTGAGGGGGATGGGAGTTAACGGAGGTTTGCTGGCAACACTGAGGGCTGATTTTGAATCTCTAAACCCCAATGTACCTGGCAAAGCTGGCATATGGTTTTCACATTGTATTGATGTTGATGCATTTCAGGAAGTTTTGGGATCTAGTTGGCTGACAAACGTGTGGGCTACTATGCACTGGTTCTCTGCTGTGGATGTCTCATGCCCACATTCTCAGGTGAGGTTACGGTCAAACCAGTTTCGAGGAGAGGTGCACTTCAGGTGAAGTAGTTTCACCCTCTCCTGATGATCCTTTGTCTGTGTTTTGGTTTGCCTGGACTTCAATTTCAAGGGGCATCCAGTACAATTAAAGGCCGGGCCCCACGAGTGCTATGTTCGTGCACAAATAGAAACTTAATACACAGTTCGAACCTGGTCGTAAAATTGGTCAGGTTTGTGCTTGCTCAGAATGAACATGGTGCTTCGAGCAATAATGGTCGAGCCATGATTTTGCTCGCTGGGAAGAGGTCCTTCCCAACTCCCGCCGCCTTCCCACCAACCTTTCTTTTTCACTTTTAGTTTTTAGTATAACCTTTTTTTTTTTTTTGTTTCCGAATTCCTTCTAACGAGTATGTGGAAGAGTGCTCACCTACGTAGTGTTTGTAGTCCATCCAACATTGCTTGGACATAGGTCTTTTAGGGACACTGACGATCACTGACCGTTGTCATTATCTTAACACCTGCTCTGGTTTTTGTAAGTCTGGCTGAGTCAAGTTCTTTAGGGCGAGGCCGTTCCCGTTCCCGTTACTTGGGCTTTTCAAGCATGCTACTGACTTATTGCTATCCATGATCAATGGACTGAACTTTCCCTTGTTATCAAAGGGGAGCAAGCATTAGCGCAGCAAAAGTGGCGATCAACCACAGTCAGTGGGTATCAACCACAGTTGGCAGGTATCGACCACAGTTAGTGGTTGTCCTGTACTGTCAGCCCAGGTAACGAGGCCATCCGGCAAGGATGACCGGCCAGTTGGTACAGCCTGGGACAGCCACCCGATGGCCTGTCAGGCTGTCAGGCTGTCAGAGTCCAGTCTGGCCAAACCGTTCCTATCCTTTATCTTGTGTCTTGCATCAATTCTCGAGTATCGGTCTACTGCTTCGTAAATTCTTGACTGCCTGTCTATTGCTTGGTCATCTTGGGTGCTTCGTCAAATGCTCGTCAATTGTGGCATGTTCATTGTATGGTCGAGTCGTGCAGTCGCCATTTGAATGTCCTATCTGGTCTGCTGTCAATCATACAAACCGTTCCACAGATCAGGCCAGGACAGGCATCATTAGATCGCGAACGATGAAGGGGGTTCAGGGCATGTGTCGAAACAGTGAAATCAAAAGGTTCTCTTCTTCCCCCTATTCCTCCCTGTTCCCACCTTGCTGTGCTTAAAGCCAATTGTTGAACTTAAACCACTGGTACCTTTACCGTCCAGTTTTGACAAGTTTTAGCCTAGTCCCAAACTTTTAGGAGGCGGGTCCGACAACGGCTGCTGTTGATAAATCTGATCGGCGGTTGTTGTTTCGTTTGGGCCTCCTGAAAGGTCGCAGAGGCCCACTATTTTCCAAACCGACAAAGGTACTAGTAGTTTAAACCACCACTACCTTTCCCAGGCAACGTGGAGAATCGATAATTTAACATGCCGGGCTCTTTGGAGGCTCGGGCTACCGGACCCAAATGGCTGAAGGCACCATCCAAAGGAAAAAGAAGTGTCGCACTGGCACTTCGGCAAAGCCTGGCGCACGGTTCTTTTCCACCTCAACGAAAACAGGCTCGGAGGTAGTGGTGGCTTAAGAGATCTCCCTCGTATGTTGAGCCATATTTCCCTGCTTGAGCCCAGCCTCTTCAAAGCTTTCTGCATATTGTCTCTTTTTGGGGGAGTCGATCTCCCTGTCCATTTTCGCTGCTGCCTTCCTCCATTCAACTCTTTAAGTGCCAGTGCACGGCCCCGGCCTTGCAGAAAATGAACTCGTCCCCACAACCGCAGCTTTCGGGGACGGGCCAGTGTTGATATATTTCCTCAATTTCTGGCCTCCGAAAATCGCGGTGCGGGGCCCGTGGCTGACGTATGGCTGTGTACTGATGGTTTAATGAACTTCAATTCTGTTTCCATGATTGCTTTGTCTCACTCCATGGTTCCTCTGCGCCATTTCTTTTTACTTATTGTTAGGCAGACCACCACTGGCGTTGATAAATTTCATCGATGGCCTCTGTCGCATTCTTGGCCTTCCAAAATCGCGTTGAGGGCCCCGCGGCCGATGCATGGTCATGATACTGGTGGTTTATTCCTGTTTCCATGATTGCCTTTGTCTCGCTCCATGATTCCTCTGCTGCCATTTCCTTTTACTTGTTGTTAGGCCTCTCATAAGGGACGCTGGGCCCAGTTCCCAGCCGTGTTGCTCCCCACGAATAGATTGGAGCATCACCTAAAAAAAAAAAAAAAAAAAAAAAGCCGACCACCAGGTCGAGAAGCTTTCCCAGGAGATGCGTTTTGTCTACATTCTCATTTATTAGAAAGCGCTCCCAAAATGTCAGACCATTGTCTACTTACATCGTGCTCTCCATATCACCCAGAGAACTGCTCTCCTCATTAGCTCCATCAAGCACCAATCCATGCTTTCTATCTCCCCTTCTCTTCTTGAGCTGTCAGTAGGGAGAATGGATCTGTAGGAAAGGTTGAATCTTTGACTCCATCCCCGGCATAGGATGCCTTTAACCTTTTTTTTTTTTTTTTTTTTTATTATAAAAAAAGCATGGGGACATTCAATAAAGCAATGTTGTAGGCTTTCCTGCTCTTTTCTGCGTACACATTTTGCGTCGCGGGGTTTCCTCTTTTTTTCTTTTTCTTTTGTGTGGAAGATCAAGATGCAACCTTCAGTCCTGCTGGCGATAAGAGCACCAGCTGGATTGAGGTGTGATTTTCCTTCCTCTTCTTCTCTAACGATGCACTACTAGTATTGCGTCTCGCATGATAAACGACTGGAGGCTTCTGGTTTTCTGCAGTTGGATGCGGCTGTAATATGCCCATGAAATGATTCTTAGCCACTCTAGATCCATTCCAGGGTGCTTTTTGCACCTATTTGCTATTTGCTATTGCTTTCTGTGGGTCTTCAACTTATCCCTTATTTTGTACCCTATCTTGTCTTGGACTGATAGTCTGGGATACTTCTTACTAGCTTCCTTACCCCCTACTTTCTCCAAGCCTAGCAAACCCCCATTCCACTGGGTCCGTCTCTAGGGTATTTCACATCTTTCTCTGGCCTGAAGATTATCGTGGTGTCTTGTGTTTGCTGTTTTCCTTTGCCGATCCATTTCAGTTCTTCTCCTAAAACTCTTACCCTTTCTTAGCCTTTCTGTGTAGAATTCTATTTCATTAGACTCTCATGTTTTGTCTCTTCCATGTTCCTTCCTATGTTTAACAGCTCAAATTTCAAAGACTTCAAAAACGACGACATGTTGGTGATTATCCGTGTGCGTAATGAATCTGAGGGCTACAGAGAATATTCTCTGGCTATTACCTACTGCCCAGTCCCCTTCTTTCCATTTGATGTCTTGCTTTAACATGATTCTTTATGGTAATGGAATACCATCCAGGATGTCTTCTGTATTTTTTTGCAAATCGCTCGCGACACTCTTTTAACTGTGTGCTAAGGTGACTGGCCGTTTCCCATCTTCTTTCTTGGTCGTCCCAAAGATGCTCTGTGTGTGGCCGCATGTGTCTGTGTGTGTGCCCACACCCTTATCTCAATTTCTCTCTCCTTCCTTGTGGCCCAGCGTTGATGCAGTGCCAGCCAAAAGAAATCCTGAAAACGAGAATGAAATACAAAACAGGGAGGCTCATTCAGATCACAGCGTGCTTTTTGAAGACGACATACAAGAACATCATGAAGAGCATGAGGAGGAGGAGAAATGTTGGGGTAATTTCATCAGAGGAGCTGCAGTGGCATTGAAACATCGCGGTTATGAACTAGATCAGGTAGGTAAAAACTGCACAACCTCACCCTGGTGGGTGTGATCCCTCTTCTATTCATGCAAATATATCATGACAAGTTACCGGCAGTATATCACCTGGATTCACAGGGTGCGATCCCTCTCTTCTATTTAGGTGAATATATATCATGACAAGTTATCGACAGTATATCAGCTAGATTCAGTCTGGTTCTCTTCGGTTGATTTCTGTCACTACTCTTCGACGAAATATGTCATGCCAAACTTCCATTCAGTCGCATTCTGCATTACTGGTGTTCTCATTGCTTGGTTCCTTGCAGATTCTAATATCATTTTATACTGTTGGGCCGCCGCCCGGCCTGGCATGCCCTGCCAGGCATGCCCTGCCAGGCATGCCCGGGCCAGTTGGGCAGAGGGGGGGTCGCCTGGGTCAAAAAAGAGGCAAGGATCCCAAAAAAAAAAAAAGAACTTCAGGCAAGGACTGCGCTTGGCCTGAGCAGTCAGAATCCAGTCTTAACTCTGGTTTCGGTGATGGGTCATCCAAGGGGGGTTGGGATGGGTATAAACAGTGACTAAGGGGGTTAAAACATAAAACTTAAAAGGTTACGTAACCGTACATTTGAACTCTTGTTTTCTCATTTATTTTTTATCTTAAAACTAACAAGGAATTTCGAGGTGGCCCTCAGCCAAAAGTGGTTTGTAACTTTGTATTCCAGTTTTACACAACATTTTTTTTTTTTCGGATTTCATTTTTTGATTTTTTTCTATTTTTTATTTTTTTTAATATTATGCGCTGGGATCGCCCGGCCCCCTGCCTGGGCCCTGCCCGGCCTGGGCCGCCCGGGAGGGTACCCGGGCGACCTTCCCCCAGCCGAGCCGCCCGGGGACTAACACAGATTTTATAATGTCTTGTTCGTTTCTTGAAGTTCATTTTTAAGAATTTAAAAATTTTAAATGGTTGACGATGCCAAATCAACATAGAGGAAGTGTGGTGCTGGGAGTTAAGACCTGTGAATATGGGAGGTAAGAAGGTTTTGTTATTGCAAGGCTGAATATGTGAGTTTGTGCACGCTTAAAAAAGGAGAAATTTGAAGTCCGGAAAACAATTGGTTTCCAGCGGACAATATCCTTTGAGATTAACGGGGATGGAGTATTGGCTTAGAGGAGCAGGTCGCATTGGCTATCAGATATGCTGGATGGCAGCATATGAGAATGATCGCCGACAAGATGAGACTCCACCTCTATTGATATTCCTGCAAAGCATCTGTGAAGAAAATGAATATAACATATGGGCACTGTCGCACCACTCACCAAAACTGGAAATCCGGGGTGAGGTCTGGCCTCTTGAAAACATGGCCAAAACTTCACCCGAAGTGGCCCTCGTCTTCCCTTAGGGCTTAGGGTTTAGGGTTTAGGGTTTAGGGTTTAGATTCATCAAAAATAAAAACCGCCCCGGATCCATTCAGACCATACTTGCGCGCGTAGGTGAAGTGCGCTGTGCAGTGCGGTGCGCTGATCGTAGATGTGCGGGAAAAAAAGAAAAAAGAAAAAAAAAGAAAAGAAAAGAAAAGAAAAGAAGAGGAAAAGAAGAAAGAAAATAAAGGAAAGAAAGAAAGAAGAAGCAACTGCGATGTGTGTATACACGCTGGAGAGAGAGAGAGAGAGAGAGAGAGAGAGAGAGAGAGAGAGAGAGAGAGAGAGAGAGCAAAGAGCCCTTTCAAATTATTCAGAAGCCCTTTCAAATTATTCAGACAACCCCTGCAGGTACTTCAAAAGGTCCCTGCCAAAAATTGGCAAGGGTCCCGTCGGCAGGAGAAGGGTAGTCACTGGGCTTGGTAGTAGGGAGGGAGCAGGCCAGCTATATGTGGTGTAACTTCGAATTCAGGTCCCTGTTTCAGCAGTTATGGGTTAATGACTTACTAACTCGGCATGTGATTTTCAAGGTTTCACTCCACCACTCACCAAATGTGCAAAACTAGAATGAATCTTCTCCTAGAAACTGGAACCATACAAGCCATATGTTTTTCTTTTGTGATGAGTGGAGCAGGCCCTTAGGGCCACTGCACGTAAGAAAAGGAAAAACAAAAAAAACGAGACAGCTACTGTAGTGCTTGTAGTACTTTCGTAACCCATAACTCTTGGAACACAGACCTGAATCCAAATCCAGGATACCTTGCTGGCCTGCTCGCGCTTTTTCAGCAGTTCGATGAACATCCTTCCAATTGCATGGGAACCCTGCTGATTCTTTACAGGGGACCTTTTGGAAAAGAGAACGGATCAATGAGTTGTACGAACTGGGCCCAAATATTTTTTTCGCTGCACTTGAAGTTTTAAAAAGGGAGGGACACATTTGGTTACCATGGCCTACCCTTTTTCTTGTAAATGTGCTGCATCACGTGTGCGCATGCGCAATGCGGCGCATGTACGATTCAGACCAAGCCTACTTTGGTGAGCACCGTGCAGCGTCCCTAACCTTCACCAAAAAACTCACCGCTCATAAACCTGGTTACTTCAGTAGGCCGATCCATTTTCGTTTCTGGTGAGGAACGCCACATGCTAGGATCCAAGCACATCCAGATCGTCAGTCAGGACAGGTGTTTTGCTCACCAATTTGGTGGTCTGGCAGGAAAAAGGTTATGCTGCAGGCGAGCCTAATTTGGTGAGGCTTGCGAACCACTCCTTTCATGCTAGGATGCCTGATTTCTGACATGTTTCAATGGTGAGGCTGGTGCAGCAACTCGCACCACACCGAAAAAGGAGTTTTGGTGAGTGGTGTGGCGAGGCCCTATATTTTCCTTTTTCTCGTTTACAGTCCAAGGCTCCTATCCTTCGGAGCGTCATTCCAGACAAAAGGTGCCAAAAGGTATCAAAAGATGCCAAAAGGTGCCAAAAGGTATCAAAAGGTGCCAAAGAGTATCAAAAGGTGAAAGGGTCACAACTGTCTGTCTGTTCGGCTTAACCACCCCCGAAGTTTGACTTTGACAGAGGTTGGTGCTGAAGTTGACCAAGCGTGTTGACCAGTTGCGTTTGACGTTGACCTAGGGCGTTGACCAAGTTTGATGGTGACCAAGGGGGTTGACTAAGGAGGTTGACCTAATTGACGTTGACCTTGGGGAGAGTTGACCGAAGTCAGGGTTGACCAGGAGTTGACCCAAGGCTGATGTCGACCTAGTGTAAGAGGTCAAAGGTGGGTTGACTCGAGTTTGACTGGGGTGCAAAAGGGTTGACCACTGATTGGGCAGACTGGGAGATGTATTGGCTTACCTGAAGCAAGGAAGACTTCAAGACTTGACTGCTGAAGATTGGTGAGACCCTTCCAAGCCCTGGCCTCACATAGTTTGCCTGCCACACATGTGCATATTGCCCGGTGTGCCTCCACCTCTCCTGAAGTGTTGTTGCAGTCTGTCTGAGTCTTCCATGGATGTCACACCTTAATTCTCGAGGATGTATGAAGTGTGGATAGTCTAGGTCTACGTAGGAGCTCCGCAGTGGGCCAGAAGCAGGTTCAAATAAGGAGGAAAGCTGAGGGAGAGGTTCAGACCCCCCCCAAGGACCAGTACTGACTGGTTCAGCAAGTACACCTGGACCCTGTGATCTCCGTGAGGAGCTCAGTCTAAGTCTTGAGAGGGAGACTGATAACTGGCTGCGATCGTCGTCCTGTCTGCGACGTAAAATAATTCCGGAGGACCTTGGGGGCCATCCTTAAACTGCCTCTTGATGCTCTGTCAGCTTCCCTGTAGTGACTGCAACGTTAGATATTAGACTGGTAATCCTAGTAGAAGTGGTAATTAGGTGAGAGGCTAAGTGTTGAGGGGTCTAGGTCTAAGTGGTGAGGCTCTCACCATGGATGACCATCCCATGTTCAGCGCACTGGCCGTCTCAGTGGTATGGAGGCCATTGCTGCTGTTTTTCTTTCCTCTAGGGTTTTTCCGTACTGTCCGATCGTGCGTGCTCATCAGATAAGGCAAAGAGACAAACCCAGTAACTCCGGAGCAGCAACGTAAATAGATGCTATTTTCACTGAGAGAAAGAAGAAAAAGGAGTTACAAAGAAAGAGGGATAAGAAGTTGAAGGCTAAAAGATAGGAAGAGGAGAGGAGAATGGAAGAAGAGATGAGAAAAGGAGATGGAGATGGAGGAGAAGAAACTGAAGGAGGAGATGGAACAGGGATTGAGTGTGACTGAGCCAGGCGAAAGTAGTAGTGCCGCTCAGATCACCCCCGAGGAAAGGAAGCAAGCAGCAGCGGATTGGGCTAACGAGTTCTTATTTGGTGAAGAATATGAAGCTGCTATGATGGAAACAGAGGAGGAGAGGGGGGAGCATGAAAGAAAAAAGATGAAAGAATTGGAGGATGAGAAATAGCAGAGGCTGTTGGCAGAAGGGAGAAGACTGGAGTTGCAATTAAGACTAAATAAAGAAAAAAAAAGACGCACGTGGAGCAGAGAAAAAGACTGCAAGAGAAAAGAGAACGGGTGTTGCAGCGGGTAGAAGGCTTAGGAGAACAGGTATCCGAGGATCCCAAAGATCATGCAAAGATCCTAAAGATCCTCAGTGAAGGGCAAGCCCTCTTACTAGAAACTGCCAAGCAACAACGTGGTAGCAACTTGCGTCTGGAAAACGCTATTGATTCACTGCGTGCAGGCATGAGGGACTATGCACAAGATAGTATGACCGTGCTCAGTGAAGAGTTGTGCGCAGCAGCACAGCGTACAGAGAAAATTTGTACTGGTACCATAGAACGTGCTAAGGTAGCTGGTGGAAAATAAGAATTCAGAAGAGATAGGAATAAAGCTAGATTCCCAAACACTTATCTTGGGAAGAAGGATCAAAAGTTTGAGAACTGGGAAGCTAGCATTAAGTCCTACGTGTATCTGCAGAAGGTCCCTGAAACAGATCATGTGCCGCTTGCCTTTCAGAGTTTGGGAGGAGAGGCAGCCACTTTTGCACTTTCTCTAGCTCAGGCAGCCAATTGTGGATACAAAATGGTCGCCCATTCCGCCATCACATATCTGTCTGACTTTCTCTCTGCACTCTGCGAACGATTTGCCGATGCCACTCGTCCAATCAAGGCCTCAGACAAGTTGCACACCATCCATGCACAACAGTGGAAGAGCGTGCATGCTCTAAAAATGCCATGGATGAGTTGATAGCTGTCCCCGACCACGGGGTGACTCAAGGGCAGCTCCTCCAACTCTTCTATAGGGCACTCCCTGAGAATCTTAGAGATATTTTCCATGAAAAGAGTCAGCAGTTTGATATGACCTATGCTGTTTTCAATAGAGAAGTAGTTGCTTTCGCTGCGAGGTCCCAGCCTGTCATTGCGTTTTGGCATAGGGACCTAGAGAAGGGAAAGAGGTTTAAGGGGACCACCATCTTAGGACAAATTATGGGGAAGGAAAACCTCATACTTACTTTAGAGGGAGGTGGTGCTGAGGAAATTCCCTACGATAAGATAGAATATGGACAAGATGAGGACAGCAGTGTACGCGTGGGGGGTAGCTATGCTGCTGTCCCCAGTGAGGGGAGTTAAGGAGGAGGAGGCCGTGGTAGAGGCGGCCAAGGAAGAGGTGGTAGAGGACCAGGCACCCAGAGGGGTAACAGAGGTAGAGGCCGTTACGTGGGATGTAGGGGATCGAGTCCCTCGCAGGGCCAGTTTGGGCCCTCCACTTCACAAGGGCGTAGAGGAGGATTGCACCCTGGTCTGCCAGAGGGTAAGCCATGGGAAGATCTGAAGATAGAATATAATGTGTGGCAGGATCGCGTGAACTAAGGACTTTCTATCTTTTGTGCCGATCCCAAACACATTATGACATAATTGCCCTAGTACAGAAAGGCACGTTCCTCAAAAGGGAACAAGCAATAGGGGTAGTAACTGCCCCTACAGGGGCCTTTGGTCTAGAGAATGCGCGCGAAGGAGTTACCTACACCAAAGGTATCCCAATGGCAGAGGTTGCTGGACCCCACCTAGATAGTTGTCCAGAGACTGTGTGTGTTAGAGTCTCTCTAGGTGGTCCCCTCACAGGCATAGGTGATGAGCTGATCATTCGTCGCCAAGCATGGACTGAAATCAAGAAGAAGAGAGGACAACTAATTCTGGAAGACCTAGAGGTAACCAAAAATAGAAGAGGGGCCCTAATAGATAGTGGGTCTACTAGAAGTTTCATCAGCAGGAAAACACTTAAGAAGTTGCACCTGGGAATGAAGGTGCAAAGCTTAGAAAAGCCTGTAGTGAGCACCCTCGCAGATCGTAGAGAGATGACGGTAGACGAATATGTGGAAGGGATAAAGGCATACTTCCGGTTGGAGGCTGGGAGGAAAGTAGAGAAAGTGTTGCACTCCCTGACCCTCTTAGTGGAAGACGGCCTGTCGTTTGACATAGTTCTGGGTGGAGTACACGCTGTTGTGGTGAAAATTCGAAACACATTCACACACACACACACACACACACACAGACCTATGTTGCAAGCAAATCTGAGATGGGAAAAGTTCTCATCCTGCCTCAGAAATCCTGAGAACGACTTCTGCGAACTTTTCCGCTCTGCAAACGACGAAAAAACTCAATAGTTAACAAAACAATCAATTAAAATTGAGAATAATCCCAGAGTGTCCCTCCCCAGAACAGATACGGAGGCGGAGCCATAAGGCTCTGTTTTCAAAAAAAAAAAAAAAAAAAAGTTTAAAAAACAGTAAAAATCGAGTTAAAACTTAAAAGTTAAAAATTAACACATAAAAGTTAAAAGTTAAAAGTTAATAGTGTGAAATTCCTGGTTAAAAGTGAAAAAGTTTCATACCCACCTTAAAACTGCTAACCCCTGGTGGTGATAAGCAACCGGACTGATGCCCCCCAGAATAGAAGGGCCCAGTCTTTTTTTCTTTGAAAAAAATAAAACAATAAAAAAAGTGCTAACCCCTGGTTAGTTTAAACTTCCAAATTGTCATACCCACCTAACCAATGCTTCGCCCCCAGGTTTAAACTTAAAAGTGAGAAAGGGTCATGGTCACCTTAACTGCACCGGCCCACTTTTGAGGTTCAGCTAGACCTCAGTCCTTATGTTAGCACCTACATAGGTGTACGAGGACAGTGCGACCAATTTTGTCTTTGTCCTACAGTTGTGGAAGATGGAGAAAGTGGAGGAAAACTGAGAACAGAAAAGAAAGTGATCCTGGGTTGCATTCATCAAGATGGTTTTGGTTGGTTTTACGAGGAACACCTCAGTGCTTCTGACGTCTGCACCTTGTTTTCTTTTCTTGCAGGGAATAATTGGTATTGTGGATGGCACAAGAGGGATGGAAGAGGGTGGGGTGAGCTCATCTGCAGCGGTACGTTTTTCCAGGGAATTATTGGCTCAAAAAGTTATGCAATACATTATTATATTAGCCATTATGGCACACAGAAAGGCGGGCAGCTCACACTCAATTTTACGTCAACCTGGTGCGCCTTGTACGTGATAGGCACGGTGAAGGGGGGGGCATAAGAGGAAATAAAAGAGGGAGCATCATAGCACTAAAAAAACACAGTAAGGAAAGAGAAGAAAGAACTGCAGAGGAAAATGCAAAAGAACGGTTTCAGTGTGCGTCATTCTGTCTGCTATTTTCTTCCTTCCTTTGCTTCGCAAAGTGGGCTCTTTTAGTTGAGATAGACAGGTGATAATATGTGTGTGGCTGACAAAAGAGTCTTGTCAAAACCTTCTCCCATGAACCTCTCAGTTTCATTGTTGAAAACTCAAGTGCGTAGTATTGCACCCAAAGATGGGCATTGGAGATCACAATAACAAGGAGAGAGAGAAGATTGAAGAAATAAGATAAGACTTGGTGAGTAAAGTGGAGCCAGGCCCAATGTTTACCAGGGGTTCTGTCAGCCTTCTATGTAAGGAAGCCTGATTTTTTTATGATTATGTCTTCTGAAGTTCTGAGCCTTTCTGGCGGAAAAGGACCTGGATTGCTGCTCCTCAGAATAGAACGGAGAAACACTGTGCTCCTCTGCCTGGCATTTCCTAGATGATATCGCGCATGACCTTACATGGGATCAATTGCTTGGGTGATCATGTCAAATGATGCCTCCTGTCCTTGCTGACTTGTATGGCAAGCTGTGCTTTGTCATGCCAGCTGGCAAGAAGCGACTCAATGGCCCAAACCATGTGCCTGCATGGTACAGACATTTAACTGTTAGTAAGCGGCACACGAGTTCAAGTCCTGATGGAATCAGATGGACACAGGAATTATTTTATGCTACATTTTTTGGAACACAGGGAAGAGACCAAATGATGTGTGGTAATGCTGATGGTGACGCAGGTAGGTGTTGCCTGCCTGCTTGCGCTGGAAAATGCCAATGGGATTCATATCAGTGCTGAGGAGAACATCGAACTTGATAGGTGAGGAGCTAGCTACCTCTCTCTCTTTGTCCCTTCCTTTTTTTTTCTTGGGGGGGGGTGGGGAGCGCGGAGGGTGCTGGGGGATTTTTCATTTTCAGATTTCACCCCATCGTGCAGCATCATCAACCGTCTGACGGGAGCCATGAGTATAACTGCAATCAGACTCGACTCTGGACTTGCTCACAACATGCACACATGAGAACCGATGGCAAACCAAACTCGTGAACTCAGAATCAACAATGAACTTGCTCTTAAACTCTGTTCAGAACAGCTGTACAACTTGTGGCTATGGCCGCCGAACACTGTCTCTACCACTAGCCTCACTCTTCGTCACCCTCACATGCACACACGTACGAGGATCACCCTGAATGTCCACGCTGCACAGACACACACACTCTGTACACCCTGTCTGCACCAACAGCTGGGCGGCTATGGCCGCCGTCGTCTTCCTTCTCCTAGCTATGGCCGCCGGTGTCTCTCTCTCGCTGGTTCGCTATGGACGCTGTCTTCTTCACAGCCCACTTCTTCTCCGAGCACCTGCAGTCCTCCACGCACAAGATACCAAGGCAGCTCTTCTGCATGGCACACAGGCGAATGAATGAATGGCTGGACACTGCCTCTTTATTTATACTTCTTCGGAGGTACCCGGGCCTGCCTCAAAACGTGTGGGTCTGGGCCAAAACGTGTGGCCCAGGGAAGCTTCCAGACGTTTGGCCTTCTGGGCCAAAATGTGTGGAACCCACAGCGGGGTCCAGAACCTTCCGCACGTGCAGCCCCTACCCCTGGTACTTGCTGACTGGACTGGCCTACAGGGACCTTCTAGAGCCTACAGACTTACAGACAGACTCTAGGCCTCAGTAGACTCAGATAGAGACTTCTAGAACAGACCTTCCTAAGCCTCACGGTAACAGACCTAACTCCTAATCTACAAACCTAGGGATCGAGTCTCACACAGATTGCTGGGCCTATGCACAGGGTACAGGGTAGGTCTAGGGATCGAATCTCACTCAGCACACAGGCTCAATGTACAAGGTTTGGGCACAGATCTAGGGATCGAATCTCACTCAGCACACAGGTTCAATGTATAGGGTTAGGGCACAGGTCTAGGGGTCGAATCTCTGTGTCTGCAATGTCGGGTCAACTGGGTGAAACCGTTTCAATTACAGCCCTCACTAAGTGTATTCCAGGGGGGTTTACCCCTTGCAAGACACCCAAAAGGTACCCCAGCAGCGAGGTCCCACTTACCCATATTCTGGCCATTGGTGTTTGCACTTTAGAGTCAGAAACAAAGAATCTGGGCCAGTTGGACCACTCCCCAGGGTCAAGGCCCCACCTGGATTGTGTCTTTTTGACTGTCCATCATCAAATGGTGCGAAACGAGTTGCAAGGAAAATGAGCGAGAGCGATAGACAGAAAACCAGATTGCAATATCACGTTGTTGAGCTTATCGGGTCATGCCTTTTCTCACGAAAGGCGAGAGCCCTCCCGGCCATGTCATCCAGGAGACAACTTAGGAACAATGCAAAACCCCGTGAACCACCAAGACGCGTGTGGTCGTGTCGTCCCTTCGTCAGGATAGGTTCCCGCGGGGCACAACTTACCTTCCTTAGGGGTTGTCACCACCCTTAGGGGTGTATCCCTACCAAGCTACCGACCCACGTGCGAAAGCTTTTAGATGCAGTCACCGAGGTAGGTCAGCCGAGGGTGTTTGCTTGTTCGCTATAGTATAGGCACGTGCGGTTAAAACACCTATTGAACCCGGACGCCTTTCGTCCCTTAGGGTGTTGATCTCCTAAGTACGAAGCGTACGTCGGTCGACAGGGGCGGTCTCAACCGAGGGTGAAACCCACAAGTATCCTAGTCCTTTAGACGCACAATTGGGAGAGGAGAGAGAATCGCGATAAAATATAACTATATCGAAAAAGATCGACCATTAGTCGATAGGAGAATGCATCTGTGAATCCAATCATGAGTTGAAACAAAAACAGAAAGAGCCCGAGCATCACAGGGTAGAACCAATAACGCAAGATTGAAGTGAAAAAAATCCGACCACCTCAAGTCGAACTTGACAAAAAAAAACTATACGAAACAGCCAATGGGAAGTTGGGTTCGACAATAACCTCGATGCAGCCGACAAGGTAGAGGGACTGCCTCAATTTTGACTCGATGAGACGCGTTGCCAAATTCATCCATTCCACCTTACCGTCAACCTAAGATTGGGCACACCCGCCTCCATACATTTTAGTCTTCTTTGATGACAGGCAGGGTTGTCGTGCCCGACCCAGGTGCCCCGGCGGGGCCCCGGGGGTGGGCACCCCCGACCCCTGCTCTGGAGCACCCCCCCAAAAAAATAAAAATAAATAAAAAAATAAAAAATTGTGGGGAGTGCGCAGCGAGAGCGCGCATCCCGTGCGCTAAACCCCAAAAATGGGTTTTTGTGCCCCACCGCGGACCCCCCCCCGGAGCCACACCCACCAGTGGTGGGAGCGGGGTAGCCGTGGGGGCGGGGCCGGGTGTGGGGCCGGAGGCGAGGCCAATAGCCGGCGGGGCCGGGGGCGGGGCCAACAGCTGGGGGGGGCAGGGCCA